TAATGTAATTATGTAATGCTTACTAACATAGTTTATAATGTGCATACTTCTTTGTGTTTACTGTTTGCCTCTCTTCCAGAATGTAAGCTCCACAAGAGCAGATATTTCTTTTGTAGTTTTTTTTTTTTTTACAGTGCTGTCCTTCTAGTGCCTAGAAGAGTACCTAACACATAAAAGATGCTCTGTAAATATTTATTGAATGTTCAATGAATTTTTCTAAACAGAAATATATAGTTTAAAAATTGATGATCCTATCAGGTTTAAGCTTTTCTGGTTCACTATCACCTGGTAGAGAAGATTAGTCAAAATCCTTGGGACCAAAGTATTTCAAGGTATATTTGATGGAAAAATAATTTCACAGAATATTCTTGCCAAATAAGCTTATGATACATAGCCGACCATACCTCCCTCTTGGAGAGTCTATTCCACTGTAAAACAATCTTTGTAACACTAATCCAGCACTTCCCAAACTTACTTAACAAATCTCTTTTTTCATGAAGTGACTATTAGAATTGCATGGAATTAATGCTCTAGGCTCGTGATGTGAAAATAATAATATTTAAAATGGAGTTTAGCCCAGGAATGTAAGATTGGTTCAACATTTGAAAAGCAATCATTGTAATATACCATATTAATTGGATAAAAGATAAAAATACATGATTGTCTCAATAATTTCAAATAAAACATTTTACAAAATCCAAAATCCTTTTATGATTGAAAAAAAAAAAAAAAACACTGAATAAATGAACATATTAAGGGATTTCCTTAACCTGGTAAAGGACATCTACCAAAAAACCCCTACAGCTTGCATTATAATGGTGAAAGAGTGAAAGCTTTCCCCCTATAATCAGTAACAAAAGAATTTCAACTCTCACCACTTCTATACCTTGCCAGGGAAACTAGGCAAGAAAAAGAAATAGAAGTATCTAGATCAGAAAGCAAGAAATAAAATAATGTGTATTTGCAGGTTGTAATTTATATATGTAAAACACTAACAAATTCACACTCATACACACACACATTACAGCTAATGAGTTCAGCACAGCTGCAGAACACACTACCAATATACAAAAATCAGTTGTAATGCTATAGACTAGCAATAAACAAACTAGAAATAAATGTAAGGAAACAATTCCATCGATAACAGCTTTATAAAGACTAAAATACTTAGGAATAAATCTAACAAAAGAAGTGCAACATGAGTACACTGAAAACTACAAAATTTCATTAAATCAATAAAGGCCTAAATAGAAAGACATTTTATGTTTCTGGATTGAAGGACTGAATGTGTTAAGATGGCAATGCTCCCCAAATCGACCTAAAGATTCACTGCAATCACTATCAAAATACCTGTTGACATTTTTTTTTTTTTTGCAGGAATTGACAAGCTAATCTTTAAAATCAAAAGATCCAAAATAGTAAAGCCAAACTTGAAATACAACAAAACCAGAAAACTCACACTTCCTGATTTCAAAACTTGCTACAAAATTATATTAATCAAGACAGTGTAAACAGGCAAAAGGATAGACAGGTAAAGGAAGAGAACTGAGAATTTTATCAACAAATTAATAGCAGAGATTCAAACCCAGACTGGACAAAAAAAATCCATGCTTTCCCTACTACCATGTAAGTCTTTTTTGGTTATCATTGTTCTCTATATTCTCCACAACACGTAACCTAGGGCCATGTACCAACTGATGAATGAATGAGCAGCGCTTCTGGTGATAATGTCTAATCCTATAAGGCACTAAATGGTACATAAAGAAGGACAATTTTATTTTTAAGTACAACCCAACAGTTACCCTGCAGCTAAAGAAAGAAATTAAAAGCTGTCATTATCTATGTGCTGAATAAAAAACACAGATGGAGTTTCTATACTCTAACACCCTTCATCTTTTGGTAAAAATATGAGAATTGAAAAACTATCAGTCAGAAATATAGATACTATCTTAAGACCAAAACCAAAATTAGATTAGCCAGGAGATATCACCTTATATTCTCACTTTGTCTGCTAGCGTATCATGTTCAATGGGGTTAAGATAAGTATTTGCTAAATGGGAAAAATAGTTTACGTATATATATATATTCATCACACACACAGTTATACACTCCCCTGGGAAGTCTTGAAGAGCACTGTAACTTTGAAGGTCCTTGGAAAATTTCTGTCTTGGAACAAGACAGTCCAGGAGAGTTTAACATCATCAGTAATTAATGTGCAAGATGACAAACGTACCTCCTCTGACTCAGAAAATGAAATGTTTCCACAATCAAGCCTGAAGTTAGCAGTGTTGAAGTACTAAATGGCTTTCTAACAAATTTAGACTTGACAGTTACTTTGTCTTTCTCTTGTCTTAGCAGATTCATGCTTAAGAAGGCCACATATTCTCCGGCTACTCAGGGAATACAGGCCAACCTACCCATCTGCCAGGCAGCAATTCAGGGTGGGTGTCCTGCATATCCAGCTGTAGGGTTATATCCATGTAATTATATACATGGGTATGTAATAAAGATAGAGGAAGGGTGTCAGGAGGAGATTGTGGGTGAATGTTAGGCCAAACTTCTCAACTCCTTATTAGTCTCCTTTTATAGACTTGAGGGCTAACCACATGCAGTGGCACACTTCGATAAAAGTGAATCATAGAAATGGAAATAAATGCATTATCTGGCACACATTTTTGGCTAATTTCTTTAGACAATGTGGCTCAATTCTCTAGAATATAAACAGTTGTCTTTTGTAAGGCAGTAATGTCTAATAGGTATTTGTAAAGAATTTCTATTTTATCTAATATTATGATATAAATTATATCATGTCCAGGTAAAACAAATAGCATTTGAATATTGGTATTTCAATGTCACTGACTGTAAAATCAACAAGAAAAGTGTGCTTCATTTTCTGGAGCCTAAATTTTCCCACTTACAAAAACAGCAATAATAAATGTGTTTTCTCTAATTCTTGTGTTAGTGAGAAAACTTGCACATATCATGTAAAATATTACTTTGATATGAATTTAGGCTTGAGCAATGTGGGCCTCAGCTAAAAGAGCAGGACCTTATAGGGTACCTTCTTGAGAGCCAAACTTTAAAAGCTAATCTGCCTTTCTACCCTTGTTTCTCCTCTGGTCTTGTTTTATTCAGGTCTTTTAACTTTTTATATTACATATATATTTGTAACAAGTCACTTTGGAATAAAGGGTGGGTATAAATAATCAAATGTTATTGAAATAATATCATCATTAATTGGGTTGTCTTGAGCAATGCTGGGTGATTATGGGGATGAGGAAACAAGGGAACAAGGGAAAATCCTAGTTCACTGCTTAGGAGCACCAACTTGTTAACCACTTAAAATGCATAAATCACAAATAATAAGGCTCTTCTTAACATATGGGAGACATTTTTTAATTAAAAAATGCTGGAAATGAGAATTAAGTATTTATTAATAGCCTATAAACTACATGCTATGTGCCAGACACTATTCTAGCTGCTTTATATGTATCAGTTCAAGTAATCCTTTTAGCAATTCTCTCTTCTGTTCTATTACTATCACCATTCTCATTTTACAAACAAGGAATTGAGGATCAGAGTGGTTAACTACCTTGCCTAGAGTCACACTGGTACAAAGTGGCAGCCAAAGTTTGAAGCCAAACAGGCTGGCTATGGGGTCTATTATGCTATTCCGCAGCCTTACTTCTCCAGACAGCAGAAGACAGCTGGGTACACAGCTCTCTGATTCTCAACTCTGAAGGCTCAGTGGTATCATCTTGGGGAAGGGTGGAAGGTGGTTAAAAACACTTCTGAGCCTAGGCCCAACTCAGACATTATTGTCTATATTTTTTAAAAGCCTCCCAAGTGATTCTGTTCTTGCACCCTGGGTTAAGAACCACTGAAATAAATGAACCATTGATTTCTGTTCATAAACTAAAGAGCAGCATTGACCTTAAAGGAATAGTCCATATTCTGAGCATGCTCTTCAAAATCTTTGGAATATAAAAATGATTAACATAAAGGCAGTGTCATAGTAATAAAACGGCCAAGAGAATAATAAATCATGACCCAAAGAAACAAGCCGTGTACAGGCCCCACACTGGCACTCTGCTGAGTAGAAAAAGACACCATTTGCAAGAGTAGGAATTTATCACCTATATTCAAGAGAACATAGAAATAGCTCAGAGGTGAATGCAGACAGATCAAGCCATACCTCTTTTACATCGTTCCATTAGTAGAAATGGAGATAAATACATTGTAAGACAGCTACCCATCCAGCTAAAGTACTGCTGTATTTTCTGTTTTTACTACATGAAAAAAGAATGCCCTTTTTAGGTTTTTTTGTTTTTTGTTTTTTGTTTTCTTTGAGATGGAGCTTCACTCTTGTCGCCAAGGCCGGAGTGCAGCAGTGGTGTGATCTCAGCTCACTGCAACTTCCGCCTCCCAGGTTCAAGGGATTCTCCTACCTCAGCCTCCTGAGTAGTTGGGATTACAGGCATGCCACCATGCCTGGCTAATTTTTGAATTTTTAGTAGAGATGGTGTTTCACCATGTTGGCCAGGCTGGTCTTGAACTCCTGACTTCAGGTGATCCACCCGCCTTGGCCTCCCAAACTGCTGGGATTACAGGTGTGAGCCACCCTGCCCAGACAAGGATATCCTTTTAAAACTACTTTTTGCAGTCAAAATTATGCAAAATATCTTCAATGACTTTAATTTGTGATAGATGATGGCAGAGATTGAAGGTAGTGAATTAATGTACTCTGTACTCAAAAACCAGACTTTATCTGTAGGAAAGAGTAAGGCAGTAAAGGAGCAAGAAAAAGACTGAGTAAAAGAGAAAGAAGCTGAACAAAGTATTAGCAAGTAATAAACCAACGTGTGTTTCCCCTAGGGTTGTCGATTCCACATAGAGACATATGACAATGTGCCTTCCATTGTCAACCTTCCCAATTATTTTAGTTCCTGGAGTTTTCCAAATGCACAAAGTGTTTAACAAATTTGCAATATGTAACTTACTCATTGAGCTCTTTATGGCATAGTTCATTCCGCACTTCTAGATGCAAATGTGTTAGGTGCCAAATTCCTGGAAAAAAAGAGTTATCCTTTTCTCAATAGTGGTTTACGTGCGTCAAATTCTTTGTGGCATGATGGCCATATAAAGAACTAAATTAAAAGTATATGTCCTTAAAGCCTGCCCCTGTTTCTTCTTACCATAACATCAAACTAATTTGCTTAATGAGGTCACTTAAGAAAGGGGTAATTCCTTATATTTCATTGTAGATTCTTAACTTTAGGAAGTAAGTTGCTATTTGTGTCCAGAAACTCATTCTTTCTCCTAATTTTATCATGACTACCATGTGGTAAAAAGTCCTCACCCTTATGTAGCATTTTTCTTCCTTTCTCTTTGGGCTTTGCAGTTTTATAATTCAGAACTATGAACTAGCTCCTTGAGACCTGAGAGAAATAACTCCATAAAATTTGAATAAGCAACAGCGACAACATTCTGTAGAATTTTCCAAGAACCTTCATTTGTAAAGTATTATACTAAGTTGTTTGATGTTAAGGGAGAATTCTATCAAATAATAAGAAAAGTGATAACCAAAAAAAAGTAATCATGAGAATTTAGGCAGATACTAGGTTAGCAATTTCCCTGATAAGATACAAATGATTGAAAGGCAGGCTAAACAAATTAATACTCTAGGTATAATTACAGAGCAAATAGTACTTAAAATGAATATTTTCTGGCATTTTGAAAGCATCTGCCCATTGACAAGTCGTTCTTTCAGACATAAGCCACGAGGGCTCATCTTTCTCCTTGAACTACACTCTGTAGTGTCTGATTTGGCCAGGCAGGCCTCATCGCCTTCACAGGGCTGGCAGGGCAATTATATGTGGAGTCAGCTTTGCACAGCTAGCTCTGCTTATGGTGACTCTAAGGGCTTGCTTTGGAGGCTTGGTTACAGCACACTGCCACTTAACTTCCAGCCCAGCTGCTTTTTTAAATCTGGCTTTATCCACCGTTAACACAGTGGTCATTTCTTCAGCATTTGTGACTACTTCATACTGCACAGAACTTAGAGAAGAGAAGGGGTGATTCATTGACTCCTAACTTTCAAAGGCCACATCAGGCAAGTTGTTTCGCTTCCCTAAATTTTTCAGATATAAAATGAAGAGACTGATCTCTGCTGAAGTCCCCCACAGCTATTTCATTTACAACTTTTTCAGGTAATACATTTTTTAAAAGCCAGGTTCAACTGGTTATAATCAAAAGTAGCCAAATGTGTATTTCCTTAAAAACACTATAATTGTGTCCAGGTCTTCAACAGAGGTTTGTCCAAATTTGTAACACTTTATATAAAGAGATTAAAAATATGAAATAAATCCTCATCTATTTCTCTGCATTCCTTTGAGATAGTAAGTGAAGTATTTTCATTCCTATCAAAGAAATTCTACAGACTTTATTATGTTCTTATCCCATTTGAGATATAGGTTTCTTCTGGAAAATTCAAAAGACAAAACAATGGTATGAAAAGATATATGGATCCAACATGCATTCATGAAATAAATATTCCACAGCCCATTATCTTCAAAGCCAGATTGCTATATCAAATATCTAGATGGCAAATGGTTGCAATGACATATTTTGCCTAAAAAGGTAAAGAATGGAAAAGAGAAGAGAGGAGAGTTCATCTTTTGAACATCTAGATATGCTAAGTATTATGTTAGAGACATTTATATATCTATTTAATATAAATTATTGCAAAGGTTTTGTAATGTAGTTATTTTTATTCCCATTTTTATAGGGAAGTCAACTGAAGTTCAAAGAGATTGAATCCCTTGTTCCAGAATACACTGTTAGTAAGACCTGAGTTTGAATACTTATCTGACCACCCCAGAACCCAAGTCTTTTCCAAACGATTCCCGACATGCTGCCATGGGCTACCCTGGGTGGTGGTGATAGAAAGTGTGTGATGCTATCCACAACACACTGTGATGACAGAGTGGTTTTTCCCTGCTGACAGGATAAGCTTCTTTTAAACTCTCATCATCCGGACTGCTTTTCAAAGGGCGTATGTTCAGACCTAAGCCTCACATCCTCAGCAAGTTAGTGTCCCATCATTCTTAGGGGACCTTTGTTTCCTTAAATGTTAGATGGAATGAGGTCACACATCAGGCCCAGGGTGACTGGTCTTTGTTTAATGTCTGATAATGCATTTGTCTTAAGGTCAAGTGGGATTATTTCCAGAACTCTGCTGAAACATAAAAGGCAAAAGGAAAAGTGACAAAAAGCAGGGTCAGCTTAGAGCTCCAAAAAGAATTCAGAATGGATTTTATGTAGAAAATGCAAACGCTAGGGACAAAAAAAAAAAATAGAAATGTATTTTACGAGTGTCATAAAAATGTGTTTAAAAAACAGATTTCAGTTATGCAAGGCAAAGGAATGACATAAAGAAAATTCTTGCTTCTTTGCTATAGAGGGAGAAAACCCAGTAACAGATGGCATTGAAACAGAGATTTTTAAATAATTTTACTCCTTCATATATTGTATTTTTATTGAAAAAAATAACATACATATAGGAAAGTATATGTGTTATGTCTGCACATACGTAAGTATACAAGTCAGTGAATTTTCACAAAGTGAACACACCTCGGTAACCACCACCCAGATAAAGAAATAGCACATTTCCAGTATCTTAGAAATCTGCCTCATGCCCTGTCAGTCGCTCTCCACTCCTCTCCAAAGTGCCCATTCAGGCTTGTAAAACTAGAGATCAGCTTTGCATGTTTCTGATTCTCATATAAACAGAATCAGACAATGTGTGCTTTATATCTAACTTCTTTTGCTGCACATTATATTTATAAAATTTACCCATATTGTTTCAGTAGTGGTTGTTTAATTCATGTTCATTGCTGAATGGTATGTCCTTCAATGAATAAAACACAATTTATTTATTCGTTCTGTTTATAGACATTTGGATTGTCCCAGTTTTTACTATGATGAGTGTTTAAGAGTATGCATATTCATGTACATGACTCTGTTGCTCATGCATCTGTTACATATATAGCTAGGAGTAAAACTGCTGAGTCAGTGTGCATTTGTTCAGTTTTAATATTTATTGTCAAAGAGTTTTCCAAAGTTGCTATCCCAACTGTTACTTCTATTATCAATGTAGGACAATTCTTGGTGCTCCACACCATAGCCTGAGTTTGGGGTTGTCAATCTTTTACATGTTAGCCATTCTGGAGGGTGTGAGATGGCATCTTATTGTGAATTCAATTTGTATTTCCCTGATAACAAATGAGGTTGAGAACATTTTCATATACCTCCTGACAACATGCATTTTTTTTTGTGTGAAGTGTAAGTTCAAGACTTTTGCAACATCTTCTATTATGTTTTCTATCTTTTTCTTATTGGTTTGTTGTACCTTTTCTTTTTCTTTCTCTTTTTTTTGAGGCAAGGTCTCACTCTGCCACCCAAGGTGGAGTGCAGCAGTGCCATCAGAGTTCACTAGAGCCTTGCATTCCTGGGCTCAAGCTATCCTCCTGCCTTGCCTCCCGAGTAGCTGGGATGCAGGCACATGCCACCGTGCCTGGCTAATTTTTTTAATTCTTGATATTCCTTTTATTTTCGATATGCCAGCTAGAGTCCTTTGTTGATTTATGTGTTGAAAACATCTTCTCCTATTTTGAGGCTTGACTTTCTACTTTCTTAATACTATATTTTTATCAACAGAAGATGTAATATAATTCAATTTATCAATACTTTACCTAATGATGAGTGGTTTCTGTATCCTGCATAAGAAGGCATTCCCTAGTCTACGTATATAAAGATACTTTTCTGGGTTATCTTTATAAATTTATTATTTTACCTTTCACATTTAGATTTCAATACCACTTTGAATTGATTTCTGTGTATGGTAGGATTTTCCTTTGTCTTTTGAAAAATATCAATTCTAGTCAATTATCCAGGACAAGAGATAGAAACATAGGAGATCACAGTAAAATGAGAAAAACAACTGAATTGTAAAGCAATCTGAAAATATGTTTAATTCCTTGGATTGTTGTTTACAAAACATGTTGAAACCTGTCACTAAAGCATCAGCAGTTTTATTCTGAAAGGACAAGAAAGAGAAACAGAAATTTTTTTGAACAGCAAAAAATGCAAAACCTCTAAGTTATTTATTGCAGTAAAGGGGTAGGCAAATTCCTGTTCAGAATGAGTTCAGGAGCTTTAGCTAGAATTTTGGATTCAAAAAGAACTGGGTTCATAGCTCAGCTCTGCCACTTACCAAGTGGCACAGCTGAGTTATGTACCTCACAAAGTTCTCATCCGTATCATGAAAAGAATATGCATCTCACTGGATTAAAGTGAGAAGGCAGTTAGACACATTTATGTTTTATCACTGTGTCTCCTGTACTTGCAGCAGTGTATGTCTCATAACAGGAACTTAATACTGCATTCCCCTCTGTCTTACACTATTATTATTTGTCCTTTGCTCTCTAATTAGAACCAGTGTAGAACCATCATTGAGGAGAAAAGGCAAGACATCATAAGGTAATCTGGAAACCAGGAAAACCAAAGACCATTTACTTTCACAATTTTGTCTAAGAAAATTGTATGAGTCAGCTTAATATTAATACCCCCAAAAGAAAGTAGAGCATGATCATTTTGAAATGCTCTTGAAGGGCCCAAAATAGAGTAATTAGCATGGTTTTACAAACCCAAATAGTATTAGAAAGAACAGTTTAATATCCTTTCCTGATATATGGCAAAGTAATGTTGATAAAGGGAAAACTGTATTACATTTAATCTCTTTATGCATCAAGAAAGCCTTTAATTTTATCCCACTGAACATTCCTGGGAATATACTAGATTCTTAGGTTCCTCAAAGTGTGGGGCTTGGCCTAGGACCAGTAGCATCGACATCACCTGGGAGCTTATTAGAAACACAGACTAAGAACTACTGAGTCAAAACCTGCATTTTACCAAAATCCTCAGGTTATGCATATTAATTTTGAAAAACACTGAACCAGACAATTAAAATATCTACTGATCTGATAACCCCCATTTTAAAAATAAAGTTAGGAGCAAGAGTAAGGATAGAAAGGGGGGTCAA